CATTAAATTCCAGTGAAATATATTTATGTTTGTGGTTGTAATGTGACAAAATATGGAAAAGTTCAAGGGGTATGAATACTTTTGCAAACCACTGTAACAGGAGGGTTAAAAACTGAAACCGATCCTGAAGAAATTGGCAACGGCTGCAATCGAACCCTATTCTGCATAACTTGGAAAGTTAAAGTATAAAGATTTCCGGTTCCACCAGAATGTCGCAGCTAAAATGAAAAAATAAAATAAAATAAAATTGAAACGTAGCCTTTTTTCTATTTTGCATTTGTCCTTTTTCTCGTTTAGGTTTAAAACAAAACAAAAAAAAAACATGATTTTATTTTGAAAAGGAAAACCCAGAGGTTCATACACAAATTTTTCTCTAACTGTGTTTTTTTATTTGTTGGCTTTGTATAAACTGCTAACAAACTCAGGAGACAATCTGAGGGCTAATACACTCCTATTCCCTGAGAATAACTCTCTTCTTTGTCTTCTTTCAACCAATCATTTCATCCAATTCCCACTGGACCTCACTGTGTGCTTACAGTCTGTTCTGACCYTCTGTCAAAGATCCATGTACAGACTCATCTTTTTATCACCTTTTTTATTGGCGTTTGCCTCTAACAAGATCCTTCTTTGTCACTTTGACATCCCCAGGCTATCATGGAGGAGATTGCGGGCTTTGAGGATCGCTTGGCGGGCCTGAAAGAGCAAGGGGAACGCCTGGTTCAAGGCTGCAGTGACCGCGTGCAGAGCCGGCTGAGGCAGCAAGTCCAGACTCACCGACAAGGCATCAGAGACAGYTACTCTGCCATCTGTAGCACGGCACAGAGGGTGCGTAAGGAGGGGATGAATAACGTTAAACGGTTTCCCAACATTTATAATGCAAGATGTATAAAATGCGTTGATGCACTGGATGCCCTCGCACACAGCGACAGAAGGCCATCTCAACAGCCAAGGTATCCACTTAATCCTAACTCATTCTGACACTTAAACCCGTCTCTTTAGACAGCCCTTCAGTGCCACTTTAGAGGGCACAACCAATTATATTTGCCAAAGCGGAGCTCCACAGCAGCCACACTCGGACCCCACCAGCCAACATCACTAACTCAATCTCTCCRTATTAATCTCCACAGATCCCTTGTCAACCCCGTTTCTTCACGCCTGAGCCAGAAATGATCACACGCCGCCATTCAGTGGATCTGGCTAGTCCTTTAATCCAGCCCCACTCTGTCATTTTTGGCAATCCCAGCTCTGTCATCACAGCTCACCTCCCTCTAGATACCAACTCCAAYGCCACCGCCACCACGTGCACATCCAATCTGGCGTTGTTTGATCCAGCCACATTTTTTTTTTTACCACTACACTGCTGGCTTCCCTACAGCCGCGCCTCCAGTGTTATAATGGCTGCCAACTGTGTCCCAGTGCAACGCAGCTCTAATATCCTGCCTGGCTGCCACTTGCCACCATGCCAGCCTTCTTAGTCCTCGCCAAATACGCCGGGCAGTTTGCCAACGTTTGCCCTCCCCGACGCCTCCTTTCAGACTCTCAAATTAACACTGTCAATCAGGCGGTGGTGTTTGGCTCTCCCAGGGAGGGCACGGACGCCTCCACATTCAACACCTGTTAGAAACAACACGGTGTAACTGCCTGCTTTACGGRGGTTTAGTCGTTTTGTGTGTCTTTGAAATTGAAAGACGCGCAGCTAGTTTGGCATTTCGGTGTCGTGCCTTTTTCTTTTATGTATTGTATCTTCCTTGTTTGTATTTTTTAGCTTAAATCAGGGGCGTGAAATCCTGCATTTTTTACTTGTTTCTCTGCTCCAACACACCTGGTTTGAACGAACGGATGATCGCTTCTGCAGAACTTCAATTTTTTCAATTTCAGTTCAAAAATTGTATTCATTTTATTAAAAAATAGAAGGACTCGGAGAGTGCAAACCTCCGCCAAGACCAATTTCCCCCATCCTGTAAGAGTTAATGCGCAAAAGCAGAGATGGAAACACATTTGCCGAATAATTTATGACGTAGTGAACATTTAAGCAGGCAGTATGCACGGGATTTCTTCTCGGTGGAGTCCAATGTCAAAAAATAAATAAAGTCAGACTCGTCACTCGACGTTATTCATCGTCAAACTGGGTCGGATTAAGCTCCTAAGTTTTCATCAGTCACATTTCACTGTGTAAAACGTCTGTTTTATCCCCTTGTATGAGTTTGTAATGGTTTGACTCAATAAAGTGCTTCCTGCCCCACTCCGTCTCCAAACTTTGAGGCCCGGCAGCTCTCTGTTTACAAGCCTAGTAGCAAAAAACTGTTTTGATTGGTTGTTTCGGAAATGTGGTGTGTTTGWGGAAATGGGAAAAATATGTTTCATGGTGCAGTCACGCACTTCCTGGTCACAAAACGTTCTGTAAATGTGCATATTATGGCAAAAATTATTCATCATTAAATGTGGTTTTAACATTACTTTTATAAAGTTTGAAGTCCGTGCTGTCCAATCCAGCTCCGTTTTTTACGGAAGCTCTGTGAAAGCATCACAGCTTTGCCGATCTCAGAGCGTTAAAAGAAAAAAATTCCTGTATCTGCATCGTGATCTGGAACATCACCAAAAATTAAAGGTGTGTTCCTTGGCCTAGTACACACATGTGGTAAAACTGTCATGACAATCCGTCCACAAGTTTTTGAGWATTGTTGTCCACAGACAKAAYGACAGACAGACATACGCAACCGAAAACATTACCTCGCCCTTGGTGGAGKTAACAAAACATAATWTACAAAACAATGCTAAATAAAAATAAAARCATCAACTCAAACAAAAATTCATATAGMTTCACACTTTACKTTTCCATATACCTTCAAAAAACTASCTTTTATCTGTCCCTTTAATATAAACATARAAAACTTGAAGAGGTAATTCACTGRATCAGGTGTGTTGGAGCAGGAAAACAAGTAGAACCTGCAGAACCAGGATTGGCCACTCTTGGCTTTACTCAGACTTAAAAACCTGAATCATTTCTGCAGTAAAACACGGTGTTACTAATCTTTTTTTTTCACAGGTATATCAGAGTCTGGATCATGAGTTACAGAGACACGTCAGTCTGCAGGATGCACTACAGCAGTGCCAAACCTGGTTAAACTCAGTTTCAGAAAAACTGGAGTCTCATACGGAAGCGTCTCTCTGCCTTGAAGAAGCTCTGCAGCAGGTTAGAAAACGTTTTCCTACTCAGGGACTAAAATGTTTTCTTTATGCTTATTTTTTATAAATTCATAACCAGCTAAAGCAATAAAAAACATTGATAAATCTTTATAAAAACAGGTGAAACAGGAGAGGGCTCTCCAGGAACAAGCCAGCACGTACCTCCAGCTCGTGTGTTCGGCTTGTGACCTGGCAGAGCCGAGGGTCAGGGAGGTGGCAGCTTCTATCCAGCAGATCAAACTGCAGGTCGGTTCACTTAGAAGAAACCTTTTTCAGAGTCAACATCAGCTGGTTTAGCTTTTGAAACTGGATACCTTACCTTTGAAGCAACTCCTTTTGTATTCTCCCTTTTTTTTTCAGATTGAGGACCGCATGCTTCTTTGTGAAGAAGTAGCRGACAGCTGGAGGGACATGGAGGAGCAGAAGGCAGATCTAGACGCCCAGCTGAGGGAGACGGAACAGCAACTTCAGAACCTGATCCGGAGACCTGCAGAGCTGGAACCTAAGATTGCACAGAACCAGCTGGACAAGGCACAGGTCTGTGTTTGAAACCTTCTCTGTCTCCCTTAAAGTTGCATATTGCAAAGTTTTATCCACAAATAAATCTTTAATTTAGGACACATAATATGACTACTCCTTCTATATAGGGATCTGTGAAATGCAAATATGTCTTCACTTAAATCTTTGTTTTTTGCAAACTGTCCTGAAATAATAAAAAGGGTCGCTAACTCTCACACATTACCATGAGAAGAGAGAAAAAGACCAGGAGTCAGAGAATCGATGCATGATTGAGCAACATTTGATTGACTTAAACAGCTTTTAAAAATACTGGAAAAAAAGAAAAAGCTAAATGGAAAAAGGCTAACAAGTTGACCAACATGCCAGCTAGTTGTTGTGTCTCTTGTGCCAATCAGTAGAACTGGGTCATTAATAGATTTGAGGCAAATTCAATCATTTTTGTTTGTCCTCAAAATGAAGGCTGCAGGTGCATGACCTCACCAAGATTCCTCTGAGAAACCCGAAATGTCAAACACAAAGTCTGGATTTTATTTTTATTTTTTTTGTAAAAGTTACAGATTTTTTGAAGGTCAGTGTACTGGTAAACATATGAAGGGGTTGACATGTATGCTGGAGGGGGGTGGGGCTTGAAGCTGCTTTGGATTTCGAGAGACAGCATCAAAACTAGTCAGTCTGAGACACACCTCAGAAAAGGGGTGAAAGATGGGCTTGTGGAGTTACAATAAGGAGGAATTCAGACCGCATTGCAGTTCCACTTATATAGACCCCAACTGAAGGATTTAAATGTGTAAAAGAAGGATTTAAAAGCAGGATAATGTCTCTTTAACTTAGCTGTAAAGCCTCRTCTTGCAGATATCACACTGAGGTTTCAGGTGGTTCTCTGCAAATTCAAAATTAGAAACCTTCATCCTTCATCTTGCATCATTTAAAAACATCTTATAGATACATTAAAATGCTTAAAATGTGATTTTAGTAGATGTTTAAAAAAACTGATAAAGAGTTGCAACACTAAAAGAAAAATCCAAACACCACTTTCTAGA